AAAAAMCCAAATTTAATTAATTYACTCWMTGAGTTYTGTWACTGAACTATCCAGTATGMTKTTAYRCCAATAATATGATCMCCAATACTTTAATTCTTAACTTCTCCATAACTTTAAGAAGATTTTAACTAGAAAGATTTATTRTTTYGTGGCTGCCCCATCCYGGGAAGTGTTCCATGYCAGGCTGGACAGGGCTCAGAGCAGCCTGGTTTAGTGGAAAKGGGCCCTGCCCATGGCTGGRRTTGGAATGAGATGATCTTAAAGGACCCTTCCAACCCAAACCATTCCAYGATTCYATGATTTTCATGATCTCAGAAAATGTATTAATTCAGTGTACTTACATTTCTCCTCTGTCAGCTGTTTAAGAACCTCGCCAACAATCTGTAAAAAAGTAAATACAGCATTAGCCAAGAGATAAATTAACACTGCAGAACTCAGGCCACAGAGAAAACCTCTCTAACCCATCAGTTCCTGATGTCAAGGTCCCTGTTTGTTTTACCTGGACTGTTCCCACTTTCTCTTTCTTGATGCCAAAAAAAATGATTTAAAGGTTACTTCAGGCAAATTCACCATCAACCCCAGCACAKGATGCCAACACCTCATTTCCCTCACATACCTGCCCAACACTCTGCAAGGCCTTGAGATCATTTTCTGACTTCTCATACTGCTTGGTGAGCTCTTTGAGCTGTTCCCTTACTAGAAAAAGAAAGAAACACAGGATTTTGGTAACCTTCAACCCAACAAGAGCCCAGCACCAGACCCTTTTCCAGCTGCAAAGCTGCAGGAAGAATGAAACTGTGAGACACCAGCAAACCCAGTAAGGGACCCTTGAGCAAAATGTGGGGAAGGGAACAGAGCTGGGGAAGGGTCTGGGGCACCAGGAGGGGGTAAAGAAGATGGGGGGACCTCAGCCTGGAGGAGAATTGGGGAGGTCCTTGTGGCTCTGCACAACTTCCTGACAGGAGGGGACAGACGGAGGGGATTGCTCCCAGAGAACAAGGCACAAGATGAAACGGCCTCAGGTTGTACCAGRGAGGTTTAGATTGGGACCARGGAAAATTTCTTCATGAAAAGGGTGGTCAGTCATTGGGGAAAGGCTGCCGAGAAAGGCAGTGGAGTCTCCATCCCTGGARGTGYTCAGGGAATGACTAAACATGGCACTCRGTGCTCTGSTCTATMGACAAGGTGGTTCCAGTGAYAGRCTGAACTCGCTGATCCCAGAAATCTTTTCCAACCTGAACGATTCCGTGATTCTGTGACCCTTTAGGGCCAAGCTCCCAAGGGGCCCGGGACGCGGCCGCAGCGCCCACCCCCGTCCATCCACCCCCGCTCCCCTCCCCGGGGCCCGGCCAGGCCCATGACGAAGCGCGGGCAGCGCCGCGGCCGCCGCGTCCCTTCTCAGGCTCCACGGAGCGCTCAGCAGCGCCCTCCCCCCGTCCCCTCAGCGCCCTCCGTGCCCGCGCTCACACTCCTTGAGGCGGCCGTCGATCTCCTTGTGCTCCAGCAGCTTCTTGCGGTAGTCCTGCAGCGCCTTGTCTCTGGGGTCCGCCATGATGAGCAGCCGCCGCTCATAGGGAATGCCGGGAAGGGCCATGGCGGCGGGGGGGCCGCTCCCGCCCGGCCCTCAGCRCCGCGCAGCGCCCCCTGTCGCCGCGGAGGGCAGCGGCATGTCGCGACATGAGGGKCTGTCGTGAGGGGCGGCGGCTGCTSAAACAGRGAYTGCRAGGCACGGMTTGTGTCAGCGCTGAGAGGGCGMAGCGTGGGTTAAAGAGTGGSTTAAAGAGTGGCTGTGGCTCCTGGTTCAGGTATCAGAGGAGAGGATGTGTGGGGAGCCCTCATGGAATGGTTTGGATTGAAAGGGATCTTAAAACCCATCCCATTTCCACCCCTGCCATGGCAGGGACACCTTCCAYTMTCCCAGGYTGCTCCAAGCCCTGTCCAGTCTGGCCTTGGACATTTCCAGGGATCCAAGGTCAGCCACAGCTTCTCTGGGCACCCTCAGCTTCTCTGGGCACCCTGTGCCAGGGCCTCTCCAACCTCACAGCCAGGAATTCCTTCCCAATGTCCCATCTAAATCTGCCCTCTAGCATAACAAGCCAAAAAAAGAGTCGGGATTTTCCTCCCCTTCCCATGGTGTGTCTGTCTGATGCTGCAAGGGACCTACAGCAGAGACCTACAGCTGTTCCCCCAAATCTTGCTTTACCCCCAGAGCTCATCCCTAAATGTGTACCAGGGAAGGGCTTTTGGCTGCTGTCACTGCCAGGGAGGGATCAGACACCTTTTCCTCATGCTCTGCCTCCAAGTGGATGTTCTTTGGGTGAAACTTGAAAGGTTTTGTGTCCTAGAATCCTGTAGTTATTTGGGCTGGAAGGGATGTTAAACCCCATCCAACCCCAGCCATGGACAGGGACACCTTTCACAAAACCAGGCTGCTCCAAGCCTGATCCAGCCTGGCCTTGAAAACTTCCAGGATGGGGCAGCCACAAAATAATAACAAGCTTTTGTAATTTAAATCTAGTTAAAGATTTGGAAGAGCAAAGAATTAATAGTATTGGTGATCAAAGCATTGGCAGAAAAACATTCTGGATAGTTCAGAAACACCATTCAGAGGGGGAGTTAAGTAAGTTTTGGGTTTTTTTTCTCTCTCCAGTCATTGTGAAGGCCACAAATGGACYSAGATACGTRGTTGGCTGTCRCCGTCAGGTAATTGATCTATGTGAATGTTCATTAAAGTTTGCTTTGATCTGGAATATTAGCATTGCCTTTCATCCAGCATGTTCATAGTGGCGTGAAGTGTTTTCTCCTTTAATGTGCACATCACYGTTTGACGCTGGTACCTGCTCTCCTCTCCCYTTGCAGGTGGTRTTAGTGRGGACAAAACAATCCACAACACCGCCAGGACCTTACATATGTTTTGTTCTATTTATTGAGGCAAAGCTGTTTCTTTCTGCCCGATTTTGGTGTGTCAAAACCTGGGGGCTGCTCCCGTTCGCAGCGAGCGGAGCGCGCCGGGGCCGGGCACACGGACAGCGCAGCCATCCCAATCCCCACGTTCCTCCGGTGACTCAGCGCTGCCGGCAAGCACAGCCCCATCCCCGGGGYGCTGCCCGCGGTGCTCCGCTCCGTGCTGGGCCGCTCGTAGCCGGCGGGGCGGGGCGGTGTGAGCGGAGCAGAGCAGAGCGGAGCGGAGCGGGGCGGCCCCTGCAGCCCGAGCTGTGCCGGGCCCATCGCCGACATGGCGGCGCTGCTGCTGCTGYCGCTGCTGCTGGCGCTGCCGGCCGTGCTGCCCCGCGGAGCCGAGAGACGCTGCTTCTGCCAGGTGGGTGCTGCGGCGAGGGGTGGATGGCAGCTGGGATCCGGGCCGTGCCTGGGAGGTGTTGGTGGTGGAGTGTGGAGGGACATCGGTGTCCAGTTGTCCAGGAAGGACGTGGAGCTGCTGGGGAGAGTTTTGAGCAGGGCGCGGAGATGCTGCGAGGACTGGGGAGATGCTTCAGGAACTTTCTTGTGTGGAAAGGCTGAGGGAGCTGCGGGTGCTGAGTCTGGACCAGAGGAGGTTCCAGAGAAACCTTACAGTCCCTTCCAGTACTCAAGGGGCTCCAAGAGAGTTGGAGAGGGACTTGGGACAAGGGTCTGGAGGAATAGGACAAGGGAATGGCTTCCCACTGYCAGAGGACAGGGTTAGATGGGATATTGGGAAGAAATGCTTCCCCGTGAGGATGRTGCTGCCCTGGCATAGGTTTCSCAGAGAAGCTRTAGRTGCYCCATCCCTAGAAGTGTCCAAGGCCAGGTTGGAYGGGGCTTAGAGGATCCTGGTCTGGYGGAAGGTGTTCCTGCCCATGGCTGGCAATGGAACTGGATGAACTTTAAGGTCCCTTTTAACCCAAGTCAGTCTGTGATTCTCTTCCATGCCATCTTAACTGTATTCTCTCTCTGCTCCCATTGGAAATGGGGAGTGCTCCAACTTCTTGAGCATTTCTTCCCCACCTGTCCAGGTGCCTCTCCTGGGATGTTTCAGGGATGTCTGTTACTATAATGCTGCTTCATCCCCTCTCCTGCCTTGCTGTTCTCTCAGCTCAGCTGTCCAGGAGAGAGCATGGCTGCAGCAGGCTCCTGCCACTCTATCCTTCCATGCCTGGGTGTGAGCTGGGCTGTTCTGCTCCTTAAAGCTCTTCCAGGATTAATTCCCCTTGCTGGTGTGCCAGTTGTGTCACCGCCTGGCCCTTGGTGCAGCTTCTGTTCCAGTACAGTAATGAGAGAAGTGGGTGCTGTGAACCAAGCAGCTGGATTTGGGGAGAAATTGCTCTGCAGATTCCTTCTGACGTGACTTTGCACATGCAGAGTGGCTGCTCCATCCCTGGAAATGTCCAAGGCCAAGTTGGATGGGGCTTGGAGTACCCTGGGACAGTGGAAGGTGTCCCTGCCCATGGCAGAGAGTAACATAAGATGGGCTTTAAGATCCCTTCCAACCAGAATCATTCCAAGATCAAGGGGTGAAGATGTCACAGTGTGTTTAGTGCTTTATTTTGTTGCCTTTGAAAAAAAAAGGAAGCTTTTTAAAAGGCTACTCTTGCTGTATTAAAATTCTAGTGCTTAGCTGTGGGTCAGAAATTGAGAGTGGAGAAAGAAAACAAATGGAATTGGCACTTGGGATGGCTTTGCCTTCCTGGGTGGCTCTTGACACCTTTCAGTTTTCTGTGGAAATGATAACTACAAACTTTGCTGATAAAGAATTGAAAAACACACATTTAGATTCTGTTTAAGTTCTGTATCTCTGCAGGGTTTTTTCCTTGCAGCTTCCTGTTAGCAGAGAAGTTTGTCTCCTAAGGATTGAATGTTGAGTCAGGAGTGTGGAATGGGATAAGGAGCTATAACCACTAACTGAACTGGCATTGTGGATGGCAGTGGCTGGCAGGCTCTTTTCCTTGGGCTGGAGAAGCTGGTGTGGTGCTTTGAGCTTGTTGGGCTGCTGCAATGTGCTTTTCATTCTGTGGAGCAGCTTGGTTTTCACTACAAACGTTTATTTCAACATTTTTTTTATTACCTTTAGGAAAGGGTGTCATGTAAAGCAGCATTTCTCAGCCCTTCTAACCACMAAACCTTTTAAATCATGCCCGAGGGCTGCCTCATCTTTTTGTCAAAAATAATCTACCGATCTTCTTGTGCAGAACTGGTCTGGTGGTTTTTATTTGCCACCAAAGAAAATATAGGGCAAGCCTTAAATGATCTGATTTGCCCTGCTTTGGTTAGATTCTTGAAGGCCTGGTACAGCTTTTGGTTTCCTGCTGTGAACCATCTCGTGTTGTCTCAGGAGCTTCTCAGATGAAGAATGCTCAATGTGGGGTGACTGGGAGAGCTCTGGCTTCTCTGCCAGCCTGGGACAGTTGACAAGGGCCACTTTGGGGAGTGCTGCTCCAGCAATATTCCCAGTGCTGACTTCAGCAGGCCRTGATTCTGGAAAGGGTGTTGCACTCCTGTCTGTCTGCACCCAGGGCAATGCCTCACCTGCTTTTTGTCACCATTGTTTTATCCCTCTTCCTTAGAGACCAACCAGTTCCAAAACTTTTATTAGAAACATCCATCTGTTGCTAAAAACACTTGCATTTCAAATACAGTTTTCTGCTTCCCAAGCTCTGATTAACATTCCGATATCGAAATTCCCTCAAACTTTACAGGCAGCTGTCCCTCCCCTCGAGATATTCCTGTTTGCATCATGGCTTTAGTCAGCCATGGATGTCTTCAATATATTCCTGGTAATTATTGTTCATTTGCTGTTTACAGGCTGAGGCAGCTGCATTAAGGATGTGCTGCAGGTGTTTGGCAGATGGGGATTTTGACGAGGTTTCCGGTCTGGTAGAGGGCTGGTTCCCTTTGGGAATGTTTCTGTGGGCAGGACGYTGTCATTAGGGGTGAGTCTGGGCATGGAGAGTTTCCTCCTTGGTACCTGASAGGCTTTCGAGCCTTTCTTGCGTTCCTGTAGAATTGGTGTTCACTCTGCAGCCTCTGGGGCAGGAATTTGTTTCTAGCACAGCTCACAGTTTCTCTGGGGTAGCTTCAGGAGGAGCTTCCAGGTGGAGAGAATCTGATATTTGGAGGTACATACTACCCCTCTCCTCTGGTGAGATCCCACCTGAATACTGTGTCCTGCTCTGGGGTCCTTCCAGCACAGGAAGGACGTGGAGCTGTTGGAGTGAGAGCAGAGGAGGCCAAGATGATCAGAGGGATGGAGCAGCTCTGCTGGGAGACAAGGCTTGAAGAGAGGGGATTGTTCAGCCTGGAAAAGAGAAGGGTCCAGGCTGACCTAATTGTGATCTTCCAGTGCCTGAAGGAGCTGCCAGGAAAGGTGGAGAGAGACTCTTTTACAAGGGCTGGAGTGCCAGGACAAATGGTCTGAATGGCTTCCCTCTGCCAGAGGGCAGGGATGGATGGGATATTGGGAATTAGGAATTCCTGGCTGGGAGGGTGGTGAGGCCCTGGCACAGGGTGCCCAGAGAAGCTGTGGCTGCCCCTGGATCCCTGGCAGTGTCCAAGGCCAGGTTGGACAGGGCTGGGAGCACCCTGGGACAGTGGAAGGTGTCCCTGCCCATGGCAAGGGTGGAATTAAATGATCTTTAAGGTCCTTTCCAACCCAAACCACTCTGGGATGCTGGCACAGCACCTCAGCCTCTCTGGTTTGACCCCATTCTGAGGCTCCCATGTGAGATTCACTTCTGTGTGAGTTCCAGAAACCCCAGTCCTTGTTTTCTGGGCAAAAGATGGGGGAGAAAGCACCTGGAATGGCAGATACAGCTTCTAGGATAGGTTCAAGAATGACTGTCCTCACCTGACTGCCACCAATTTGCTTCAAGTGCACTGGCAAGGATGGAAATGAAATAATTTCATAGAATCAGAGAATATCCTTAGTTAGAAAGGACCCACAAGAATCATCAAAATCCAATTCCGTTCTGTACCAGGAAACTTCTGCTGAGGGAGCAGGAAAAGCATCTGCTCACCATCGTTGTGGGGCTGGTGTGGATTGTCCAGACGGGCAGGCAGTGCCATGGAAGTTGGTACAGGCTAAACCAAACTCCTCAACCTCTGTGGCATTCCCTTCCCTGTGCCCTGTTGTAGCTGTAGTGGGAGATGCAGGAAAAAGTTTTCGTTTCCTGCCTGACTGTGGTGTGGGACAAGAAGGAAGCCTGAACTCCACTGCTCAGGGAATGTTCCTGTGACACTGAAAGGAGCAGAAAGGTGGGAAGAGCAGCCTGACAGGAGTCTGGGATGGAGTGGAGGAAGCTGAAGCAGAGGCCCAAGGCAGGGATTACCCAGAGTGGCTGGTGTTGGTGTTCCCAGCCGTGTTACACACACCGGGTGGGTCTGGCGGGGTTCAGGATTGTGAGCACGTCCTCCTTGGAGCTTACTCAGCACTTGGAGCCGCTCCTGCCGCGTCTATCCCGGCGGCTCCGTTGCATCTCTTCCCAGTGGGAAAGCCCAGCCCTGCCCAGCAGCCTCCTGCCAGGTTCTCACACCCAGGCAGGTGGAGCAGAACCCGTTGCAGGCGCTCTGCTCGGTGATTCACGGTGCCAGCAAGCACATGGCACGTGTTTGGGACTGGATCCATCCGTGGTTTATCTCAAACAGCTGTTCTCGTTGTCACAGGCTGAAGATGTAGGTAAATATTATTTTTGWGGGGTGGGAGGAAGTGTTTTAAGGCCCAGCCCACTGGAGGGCACGTTTGACACGTGTTGTAGCTCAACTGCTTTGGCAGCAGGAGTTGAAGTCCCAAACCGAGTGAGTCTTTCAGCATGCAGGGCTGAAAAATGGCTTCTAGGGTGGTCATGGAAGAAGAGGGAACTTGTGGAATGAAGACCAAGACCTGCCAAGTGATCTGACATTGCCACTTCCCTGAGTCTTGAAGTGGCTCAGCTTAAAGCTGTTTGATGGTGGCATCGCTGGGGCTTTCACCAAGCTCTGAGGAGCCTTGGCTCTTGATGTTCTTGATGCTGCTTCTCTCCTGTGCTCCTTTGCCTGTGATCTTTGATAGGTTGGGCTATCACACAGAGGCTGGGGAATTGCCCATTTCTGTCCAGTCTGACTGAAATCCTTAGAGGAGGAAGGATTGAGCAGAGCTTGARTTTTCTCAGCACTTCCCCTTTGCCCCCACGGGTGACACTGAGGCTCATCCCACCAGTGCTTCAATAAATGGTATTTGGAGAGCTCCAAAGCCTGACCCCCGTCCAGTCCTAAAGATTTTGGGATCCTCTGCAATGCTTCACTCTGGATTTTATTCAGAATGAGGATGGTTTTGGCTTGAATTGGTCACCAGACAGAAGAAAGACCTGGCCCAAATGGTGCTTCCAGTGGGGGAGAGGTGGGAGCTCCAACATTCCCACTCACAGGGATGTCATTCCTTTGGAGTGACATTTGTCATCAAAGCATAGATACAGACAGCACCTGAAGATTATCCCCAAATCTTTTTGTAGGCCACTTTTAGACCCAGCCTTTAATCTTCCTGCCTCGAAGGATGCCAAGATTCCAGGAAATAAGAATGTGGTTGGTTRGTTGGTGGTTTGCTGCGGTTTGCTGTTTTGATGTGTTTTTTTTAATATATGTGTAATTTTGAAACAGCTTTAAATTGGGTAACTGGATTAGCAAATTGCTACTGTTTATTTTTACAGGGGTGACTCAGGTTAGTGGAAAGCTTAAATCACTGTTAATCTTCATTACCATGCAGGGCAGAATTCAGTAAATGTGTGAGGGTGACACACTGAGCTTCAGTGTAAACACTTAAAATATGAGYGAGCCTCCAAATGATGCTGCCTCAACAAAACAGAGTTGTTCCAGTGGGGTAGGGAATTCTGGCTATTTTTTCCCCCACCTCCCCATTTCATGTGACTCTGTGCTCCATTTCTGCCCTCCTCCTCACAGCTTCATTTCCATGGTGGTAAATATAATATTTTTATTTAAGTTGTTGTGCAGCKCTTGCTGAATTATGAGYGGCTGAGGGAGCTGGGAAAGGGCTSAGMYTGGAGAAAAGGGGGATCAGRGGGGATTTGKGGCTCTGCACAACTCCCTGACAGGAGGGGGSAGCCRGGGGGGTCGGGCTCTGCTCCAGGGAACAGGGACAGGAGGAGAGGGAACRGCCTCAGGCTGGGCCAGGGGAGGTTTAGGTTGGATATTRGGGAAAATTTCTTCATGGAAAGGGTTGTCCAGGCCTGGCACAGCTGCCCAGGGGACAATGATGGAGATTTCATTCCTGGAGGGATTTAAAAACCCTGTGGATGTGGCACCTTGGGACACAGGAAGTGCTGGGGGAATGGTTGAACTCAGTGATGTTTGTGGGCTTTTCCAACCTGGATGATTCCAGGATTGTATTACTTCCCCAAGAACTCGTTGGGGGTGTGGGGGAAGCAAAACTACTCCTRTGTTGAGCAACTTTGTTGTCAGCCAGTAATGGATGTGTCAGGAAACCACAGCTGAATTTGTGCTACTTTTTTCTTCAGGGCTTTTTTTTTTCTTCGGGGCTTGCACTAAACCTGTTGAGTTGTTCAGGATGATGCAAGAAGGATTTGGAACAGATGTTTTCCTGCCATATGACTCTCTGAGGCAAGGAGAGGGACTGTTGCAGTTAATCACGGAATCAGGGAATGCTCTGGGTTGGAGGGGATCTTAAAACCCATCCTATCCCACCCCTGCCACGGCAGGGACACCTTCCACTATCCCAGGCTGCTCCAAGCCCCATCCAACCTGGCCTTGGGCACTGCCAGGGATCCAGGGACAGCCACAGTTTCTCTGGGCACCCTGTGCCAGGGCTTCTCCACCCTCACAGGGAAGAATTCCTTCCCAATATCCCATCCATCCCTGCCCTCTGGCAGTGGGAAGCCATTCCCTGTGTCCTGGCACTCCAGGCCTTTGTGAACAGTCTCTCTCCACCTTTCCTGTCAGCTCCTTCTGTTTTCCAGGCTGAACAATCCCATCTCTCACAGCAGAGCTGCTCCATCCCTCTGATCAGCTCTCTGTGGTTCTGATTAMCTCGAATCAGTGGCTGCAGCGCTGTTGATTAACAACATTGATTAACAACAAGGACTTTCTTTGAGGSCTCTCATTGGTGTCATTGCTGCCTAACTGGTCCCTTATGCAAACTGCAGCTCTCAGCTCTGTGATATCCTCCAGGAATGGCCTCCTGAGGCTCATCCAGCAAGGAACCTGAGCAGGCAGCCCATGGCTCACAGCTGGCACAGCAGACACATCCATTCTGCTTAAACTTGACTTGACTTGCTGGTAAAAGGAAAGAAAATGATGAATTATTTTGTTGTCTGCAGTGCTAGAAGTTCCTGGCCGAGTTGTTTATATTTGATTTATTATTTTTGATATCTTTGATTTTGATTTTATTGTTTCTTTCTCCTCCAGGTTACTGGTTATTTAGATGACTGCACCTGTGATGTAGAAACCATYGATGCCTTTAACAACTACAAACTTTTTCCTAGACTGAACGAACTCCTGGAAAGTGACTATTTCAGATACTACAAGGTAATTTTCTCATGCAAGAATTGTAATTATTTGTGTGCTACTGTATTTTTTTTTAATCTCCCTCAAACTTACTGCTGATTTTTAAAAAATCAGGTAGCTGGACTTTGATTGTGATCTTTTAAGGATGCAGTCAGTAAGTTAGAACCCTTCTGTTATGAGGAGAATCTGAATGAGATGCAGGATTTTTAAGATGTTTTCTTATCCATTTTTCCCTCTTAATCAATACCACATTAATGAAAGGTCTTCCTTTGGTGARCTGTGATGTAAAGATGTTGATGACCAATGATCCATAATGAGGGGACTCACAGTGACTCCTCACTGATGTGAAAACCTGCATTAGTTACCCCACACTCAGTTCATTGATGGCTGTTGCTGTCAGATATTGCATGGATGAGATTGATTCCATGAGCTGCATTCTGCTCCCTCTCAGATTCCACAAAATCTTATTAGATGTTCATTGTTTTGGAAGAATGCTACTTGTTAACAAATCAAAGATTGGGATTTGTTGAGGAAGCTCATGGCCTTTCCYCTTCCAGGGTTGGGATTTGTGACAGAAATACTGAGATTGGTCTGAATGAAGCACAGAATTCTGGAATCTCAGAATGGTTTGGGTTGAAAGGGACCTTAAAGCTCATCCTGTTCCAACCCTCTGCCATGGGCAGGGACACCTTCCACTGTCCCAGGGTGCTCTAAGCCCTGTCCAACTTTTGACGCTGCCAGGGATCCAGGGACAGCCACAGCCACATAGAGGCCTCCCCACCCTCACATGGAAGAATTTCTTACCAATATCCCATCCATCCCTGCCCTCTGGCAGTTTGAAGCCATTCCCTGTGTCCTGTCCCTCCATCCCTTGTCCCCRGTCCCACTCCAGCTCTCCTGGAGCCCCTTTAACTACTGGAAGAGGCTTTGAGGTCAGAACAGTTTGGAATTATGGAAATGGCTCTGTGGGAAAGCACCAGAAGGAAGATGCAAGGCAGGATTAAAAGGATAACCTGTTGTGATAAAAAGCAACGCTATCAATCTGGGTCACCAAGGCATTGTAGGTGTGGGAACAAACAAATGCTGAACATTTGATGACTCGACACAGAATCTGTGCTCTGGTCACAGCTGGATGGCAGGAAGGCTCCAGCACATCCTCTTCCCAAGGCTGCAGTCCCAAAATTCCCAGAACAAGGAAATTACACCCTCTGTCTCCATTCTCACTGCCCTCACCTTGCACTGGGTTTTGCTTCCCAAGCCTTGCACTGAAGCACTGAAGGATATTTGTGTTGGCAAAGTGGGGGGTGGAGGTTGGCTTGGCTGCAGGGAGATGTGTTATTTCATAGGATGATGTGTTATTTRCAGGTAAACYTACAGAAACCTTGTCCTTTCTGGGATGACAACAGTCACTGTGGGATGAGAGACTGTGCTGTACAGCCCTGCCCCTCTGTGAGTACCAAATCCATTCTTTTACATCTTTTTTTTTTTTTAGTATTTAACTTTTGCAGACTGGGAGGAAGCAGCACAAGTGACTGACTCTTGTTATTTTAGTTACAACAAAACTGGGGCTCTGATGGAGCTTTCATGTGTGCAGCAACACTGGTGGCCATAAGAAAGGCCAAAATACTAAATTCTGAAAGTTTCAGGACAGGCTGAGATTTTAATATTTGACCCTCTGCAAACAGCCAAAAACTTCTYCTGGTCCCTCTTTTATTTTTYCCATTAGCAAGAARWTTTTAGKGCAAACCCATTATTGTTTTTGTGTTGACAGAGTTTCACCCTGTTGGTCCATGGGCTGCACTGGGATTTAGTTTTGGCTGATGAATTTGACTTAAGAGCTTTCCAGCACTCTTCTTTTAGGAGAAATGCCTCTTTCAGTATCCTGTTTCTCAGCATCCTCTTGTCCTGTATCCTGGACAAAAGGGTTTTGTTCCCTGAGCTGTCCTGACTGCTGGTGTTTGCCCAAAAAATGTGAGGGAATCACAACTTGGTGGCTGGTGGTGAATCTTCCCTCTGGGGGCATTTCATGTTTTGCTGTTGACAGCCAGCACAGACTGTCTCACCCCCTCATTCTTAGGTTCTAAAATGGAATGATGATTTTTTTCCCCTTAAAATAACCCTAAATGTTGATTAATTTTTTTTCTCTTAAAAATCTATTTTTGGTAGTGATTATGACTAATATGATGGAGTTATGTTACAGTTACCTAAGTTGTAGCTGGAAGTTGTTTCTATTTTAAGAACTGACTGTCCCTGCTGCTCCTAATTATTTTGATTTGGGTCCATTTCATCCTGAAATCAATAAAAATAACTCTTACTGCTTCATTTTTCTCTTTGTCATCACAGCATTTGCTCCTGTAGAAGTGGTTTTATTGCCTTCCTGCTCCTGGAGGAAATGGAAGTTGAGGAGAATTTGGGGTCTGGTAGTGTGGGGCTGGCATTCCATGATGGAATGGTCAGAGGGAGATTTTGGAATGCTGGTGGATGCAACAAGTGAGGAGGCACCTGGGCTCCTGACCAGAGTCAGTGCTGGAGTTTGTTCTGCTGAAATTCTGCCAATTAACACAAAAACAATAGAGGATTTACCCTAAAAACTTCTTGCTAATGAAAAAAAAAAATAAAAGAGGGTCTAGGAGAAGTTTTTGGCTGTTTGCAGAGGGTCAAATATTAAAGCTCCTCTGGAGTTTGTATTGGCTTTCCCAAATTCCTGCTTGGATAAGCAAAGCAGAACCTGAAGTAGCAGCCATGGAAGGCTGCAGACCTTTGGAGAAGAGGAATCTTGCAAAAAAAAATAAATCAAATTAAACCACTAGGAATACTGTTCTCCTTGGTTTGGAAAGGAGTGAGGATCTGGGTGTGTTGTGAGCTGGGCTGGGTGCTTTGGTCACCTTCTCACATCCATCAGCTGTGGTAACATCCCAAACCTTCCCAAAGATGGGGCTGGAAGGTCTCAGCAGCCCCACACGTGGCACATGCTTTGTTTTGTCTTTCAGGAGGAAATCCCTGATGGAATCAGATCTGGAAGTTACAAGGTGGGTGTGTCTGAGCACAAAAGGATGAGGTTTGTTTTGTGGTCTGCTTTTGTGCCATAAAACTGATTAAGTTGGAAAAGACTTTTAAGGTCATTGGGTCCAACTATCACCTCACCACCCCATGTTCATCAGTGACACATCAGTGTCCCCAAGTGCCACATCCACATGTTTTCTGATCACTTCCAGGGATGGGAACTCCACCACCACCCTGGGCAGCCCCTTCCAATGCCTGACAACCCTTTCCATGAAGAAATTTTCTGTAGTATAAAATCTGAACCTCCTCTGTCCCAGCCTGAGGCTGTTCCCTCTCCTCCTGTCCCTGTTCCCTGGAGCAGAGCCCGACCCCCCCGGCTGCCGCCTCCTGTCAGGGAGTTGTGCAGAGCCACAAATCCCCCCTGGATCCCCCCCTGATCCCCCTTTTCTCCAGGCTGAGCCCTTTCCAGCTCCCTCAGCTGCTCCTGATGCTCCAAACCCTTCCCAGCTCCATTCCCATCCCTGGACATGCTCCAGTCCCTCCCAAGTCTCTTGTACTGAGGGGCCCAAACCACCCCTACTATTTGAGCACCAATATTTGTCAGGATTCTCTTTGTGCCTAAATTTTTACCCTCTTCAAGTGCTTGAGATGCTACAGAGCCTCTGAGGTGGCTGTCCTGGAGCCAGGTATTGCTGACATTTCTCCAAGAGCAGGTGTCACCAGGCACAAAAAGCCCCTGTGGCAGTGCCAGAGGCTGCCCCGAGTCCCTGCAAGACTCATCACCATTGTATAAGCCTTTGGGTATCTGCAGACATCCTGTGGAAACACAGGGTGGGGTGAATCATGAAAGGGTTTCTGGGGCTTAACCTGGATAGTGCATTAAAGGCAGAATTAAAAAAAAAAATTCCTTTTTAATCCTCATCCCTCCCCACCCCTTTGCTTTCCAACCCAGTACTCGGAAGAAGCCAATAACCTCGCTGAAGAATGTGAAGAAGCCAAGAGGCTTGGAGCTGTTGATGACTCTTTGAGGTTTGATTTCTTTTTCCATAATCCTTCCTTGTCCTGAAGGCAAGCAGGGATCAGTGCTCTCTCTGAGAGTCTTTGCCCACTTTTTTTGCAGCAAGGAGACCCGGCAGGCGGTGCTGCAGTGGACACAGCACGACGACTCTTCAGACAGCTTCTGTGAGGCTGATGGTATGGGCACCTGGGAGAGCTGGAAAGGCTTGGAATGGGATTTTAGCACTTCTGCAGAGCTTAGAATTGTGGAAAAGTTTGGTTTTGGAGGGATCTTTAAAGCCCTTTGTTCCACACCCTGCCATGGGCAGGGACACCTTCCACTGACCCAGGGTCCTCCAAGCCCCAGTGTCCAACCTGGCCTGGATCATTTCCAGGGATGGAGCTGCCACAGCCTTATCACCCTCACAGCCAAGAATTTCTTCCCAATATTCAACCCAAATTTCTCCTCTGGGAGTTTGAAGCCATTTCCCTTCATTCTGTCACTACATTTCCTGACATAGAGCCCCTCTCCAGCTTCCCTGTTGCCTCTTCTGATCCTGGAATGTTGCTCTGAGATCTCCACACAACCTTCTCTCCTCCAGGCTGAACAGCCCCAACTTCCAGGCCAAAGTGTAAAATTTCAGCAAGCCTGGAGCATCAATAGTTCCATATCTGCACTTTTCCACCCCCCTGACCTCAGCATTATGAAAATAACACACAAATATTTCTGGTAAAGCTTCCTTGCTGCTCAGGACCTTGCAGTTTTCAGCACAGTGGGGAAGAGGAGGCTGGATCAGCTTTGGGAAATGTCATTTTCCCTGAGAAGCTCCTTGTCACTGTTCCTCACAGACATCCATTCTCCTGATGCTGAGTACGTGGATTTACTCCTGAACCCTGAACGTTACACTGGCTACAAGGGGCCGGATGCCTGGAAAATTTGGAACAGTATTTATGAAGAAAACTGCTTCAAGTAGGTGTTTTTTGGGGATGAGTTCCACGAGGGTGGGGAAGCTGATTTCTGCAGAGGGGCAGAAATGAATCCTCATCCTTCTGTCTTTGCTCCAGTGCCTGTGCAGGGTGGGATGGACCAGAGACAAGTCTGGCTGTCCCAAAACCAGTTTTTTTCTAAAAAAGAAGAAAATACCACCAAAACCCCACAGAAACCCACATTTTGCTCTATTCTCCCCCTTCTGAGCAAAACTGAAGCACAGAAGGGGTTTTTAGATCCCCTCAGGCTGTTTGACTGCAGAAGTAGCTACTTCTGCTCCACTCTGTTTTTGCAGAAAAGGAGACAGTAACTTATTTACATTTCTTATTTAAATGATTTTTTCCCCTCCTAGGCCTCAGAATGTAAAAAGACCTTTGGCATCTGGCAGAGGTGAGTCATTTATTTATCTCACTAAGTGGGTTAGTAGTGAACTGATCCCGGCTCCAGGAACAATAAATGTTGTCTGGGCTCCTTGTCCTGCTGGATGAGAAATACCATGTAGCTCCTGACCAAGTGTAGAATTTCATGGCACCTGGAAGTGGGTTTTTCTGACATCCATTGTGGAAAATGAATATCTGATCTTCCACTCCTGGAAAAAAAAAAAAACCTGTGAGTTTTGGAGGGACTGGGAGCAGGGCTGAACCCTGAGATTTCCCTGGGTTTTTGTACTTGGCGGTGCCAAACCGTCTGTGACGGATTGAAATGAGATCCTGGCTGGGATCCTCCATGGAAACCACTCAGCAAGAGAAGCTCTGCCCCAGAGCCACAGCCAGGCAGTGGAAGTTAAAGAGGGGAAGGGGTTTGGAAGCAGGAGAACATCACCAACCTCTCCTCATTGCTGTGACCTGAATGCTGCTCCAATGGTCCAGATCATCCTCTGCAGTGATCTCTTGATTCTTCCCTAAATTTTGGAGGTGTTTACCTTCCTTCTTTGACCCAGGTGCAAAGGATTGGCTTTTTCCTTCTCTTCTACTGCTGAAGGGGATGTACAATGTCCCTGGAAATATCAGGTTTTACTTCCTTTGCAAATATTGATCCCTCCTGCCTGGGTCAGGTTACTCAGCCCCGTTGCTCATCCGGTGTCCTCACTGCTGCACTTGGAGTTTTCTGTGTTCAGAACATTTCCAGACCTCCCTGGAGGTTGTCAGAGCAGATGAACAGAGCAGTGCTGGTGCTTTGCAGCTTAATTTGGGTTCTGTGTAATTTTTTTCTTCTTTTTTCCTCTCCTTCCACCCCTTGTGCTTTTTCCCATCAGGAGACGACGGAGGTGAGTGGCACTGTTTGTTTTTACTGATAACAGAAACAAATGGGGCATCTTTATCATGCTGTGACAGTCTGTGCCATCAGATAATGCACCTGGGGAGCAAAATTATTCATCAGAAATTAGAGTTGTGGAATTATAAAATATCCTGAGTGGGATCATGAGGATAGAGTCCAACCCTGTCCAGATCCCCCAACAATCCCACCCTGTGCATCCCTGGCAGCGCTGTCCAAATGCTCCTGGAGCTCTGGCAGCCTCAGGGCTGGGACCATTCCCTGGAGAGCCTGGGCAGTGCCAGCACCCTCTGGGGACAGAGGAACCTTTCCTTGATTTCCCATCTAAACCCACCCTGGCACAGCTCCAGCCATTTCCTTGTGTCCTGTCCCTCCTCATCAGAGTGAAGAGGACCCTGTGCAGAGATCCCTGGGAGCTCCCTATCCCATCTCATCCTCATCTGAAGGCCTTAAAAAATCCACCAGCATTTTTTTAAGAGCACAAGTCCTGTTTGAAGCAGTCACTGAAGTGTGGGAAGCCCTTTGGGAACAGGATTTTTGCTGGGGTTTTTTTTTCAGTGCTGATTGCTGAGAAAGCTTTGAACAGCCTCATAAATCCCAACAGCCTCTGGAAGCTGTAGGAGCTGAGTGTCCCAACTCCCTCTGGCCCTGGGGATGACTGTTCCCTGGAGTTCTCCATTCTCCATGACATCTTTTTGTCCCTGAACCATCCCCAAATCCTGATCTGCAGATCACTTCCAAGCATGGAGCAGGGATAGTGAAACCCTGACTTATGGGATTCTGCACGCTCAGCTGCACTCTGTGGTTTTTTGGTTGGYTGGTTTGTTTGTTTTATAAAAATATCCCTCTCCCCACTGTGCCCAAAGAGGAAAGCAATCCCTGATCCTTGTTTTTGCCAACACTGCACTGTTCTGCCCCCCCAGCCCCTTGGGGAAAGCCCACGTGCTGTTTTGAGCTGCTGCCACGCCGTGTTAGAGAAGCATCACTCACCAGGGTGGGCAGGAAAACTCTTCTCATGCTCTTCTAATGCTCCTTGCCCAATTTCTGCAAACTGGGGCCAGCCTGGGAGGTAGATTCAGGCCAGCAGGCTTGCTGTGCACCCTCACTGATGTGTTTCCCTTCCTTTCCAGGGCACACATTTTACAAGTGGCTCAAAGGTAATCCTCAGTCTCACTCAGTCACTTTTCCTGAGATGGACACAAAACCAGGGAGGGGGTGGGATTGGTGGCCACACTCAGTGGGGTTAAATTCCTCCCTCACAGCCAGGAGAGCTGAAATCCAGTGGGTGCTTCCAGAGTCTGAATCTGCCCTTTGCTTTGCAGGGGTGTGTGTGGAGAAACGAGCTTTCTACAGGCTCATCTCGGGTCTCCACGCCAGCATCAACATCCACCTGAGTGCCAGGTACCTCCTGCAAGGTAAATGCTCCCTCCTGCCTTCCTGCCACTTTTCCTGCCTCATTCCAAAGCTGACACTTCCATGGCTCTGCTGAATGCTGCTTGGAGCCTGTTCCAGCAGGATTCAGGCCTATTCCGTGCTCTTCCCAGCACCCAGCTTGTGTAACAGGATTAGGGATGCAGCTGCCATGTGCCTCAGGTCTGACAGGGGCTGGGCTGTGCTCTCCACCAAGATTTCCAGCACATATTCCTTGTGTCCTTCCTCTTTTGGAGGGAATTTCTGACTGTGGATTGAGGCTGTCCCTTCCCAGCCTGGTTTTAGGATGGTCAGTTCAGCAATAACCTCACCTAGACTGGGAAATGCTTGGCTGGGCTTCCCAAGGCCATTGATCCACAGGCCATTGCTTTTCCCATTTCCATTTCCATTTCCAATTCCAATTCCATTTCCTTTTCCACTTCCATTTCCACTTCCATTTCCATTTCCACTTCCATTTCAATTTCCACTTCAATTTCCATTTCCATTTCAATTTCTACTTCCACTTCCATTTCAATTTCCACTTCAATTTCCACTTCCATTTCCATTTCAATTTCCACTTCCATTTCCATTTCCTTTCCAAGCTTTGGTCCATAAGTATCTGTCTGAGAAATGCCATTTTCAACCCTGGGCTTGAAAATCAATGTGAAACTGTGGGAATTTGGATAAGTCATTTAGACTGACCTAAATAATTGCATTGAAGTTTTTACAGCCCACGTGGGCCTCACCTCGATGTGAGTTTGGCCATGTTGGGAGATGGGATAATGTGGGAAACATCAGAAGCAAGAGATAAGTTGGGGCTGCAGCATCAGCTTGATGTGAGTTTTATATTTTTCACTACATATTTTATATAATAATCTTAAACACAGGGTAGGATAAGCAACAGAAATATCCTTTGTGGGCTTGAAAAAAATGGAAAGTAAAGGCCAGTCTCCTCCACTCCATGGTTGTTCTGTTGCTTTTTCATATCATCAGGAATTCTCTTAAGATGTCCCTGTTTATGAGGAAGACTCAGGAATTATTTGAGAAAAGTCTGCAGGAGTTTTGTGTTTGCTGGGGGCTGAGTTCAGTTAAAATCCTGCCTCCCTTGAACAATTTTCAGGCAAAATTTTTTCACTGGAAAGGTTTTCAGGCATTGGAAGGGGGTGCCCAGGGTGGTGGTAGAATCACCATCCCTGGAGGTTCAGGGAACCACTGGATGTGGCACTCAAAGGTTGGACTCAATGATCTTGGAGATCTTTTCTACCTTCTGTGGGTTTGGAAAGCTGGGATCTCCCTGGCTGGAACCACATTTCACCACTTTTCTGGAGGGAGGAGATGAACCAGAACTAAACCCAAGCACCTTACGCCTTTGGGGTTTTTTTTTCTGTCTCAGACACGTGGTCAGAGAAAAAATGGGGCCCCAACGTCACCGAGTTCCAGCAGAGGTTTGATGAAGTCCTCACCAGAGGAGAAGGACCCAGGAGACTCAAGAACCTTTATTTCCTGTACCTGATCGAGCTGAGGGCTCTCTCCAAAGTGCTGCCCTTCTTTGAGCGCCCGGGTTTCCAGCTGTACACCGGGAATAAGAGCCAGGACACCGAAATGAAACACCTGCTGCTGGAAATCCTCCATCTGGCCAAGTAATTGCACTCAGTACCTGGGGACAGTGGCTCTGGCAGCAGCTCTGAGTGTGCTGTCACATAAAGCTCCTAGAAAGGTTCTGGGTTCCTTCCTGGAGTGATTGRTGYRGTAGAATCATAGAAACRTGGCATGGTTTGGGTTGGAAAAACATTTTTAGGGTCATCCAGCCCAGCTCCCTTGCAATGAGTAGGGACATAGTACCAGTAGTGCTGGGAGAGCATGGATATCTGTATGCAAATTGCAGAATTTGGGTAATTAGTCCCACAGTTTAATAGCCTCGGCTGCCTTTTGGATTTAGAATTGAATTTAATAACTGCCTACGTGTCAGCCCTAAAATTGGCTACCTGTGTGAGTCATCTGTGGGATACCAGGCCTGGCTTCGTGTTTGTGACTAGAAAAACATCCTAAATATCTTGGTAACAAGGTTTGGGCTGTTGGATGGAGTTTGGAGTAAAAGGAATGGAAGGTATTGGAATCAGACAGAAAAGGGTGTCTCCTAAAGTGATCCATGTTTGATTTATCTTGTCACCCTCCTGTGATTCTGTCTGTCAAAAACAGACTGAAATTGCTTTAAAAACCATCAAGCAATTGCTGAAAATGTCTCCGAGGTGAGATGCCAGCTCAAATTGGAGGAGATAATAGAATCCCAGGGTGGTTTGGGTTGGAAGGAACCTTAAATCATCTCATTCCATTCCTTGGGGTTGGATGTAAGATTCAAACACGTCTGGAGATGTCCAGTAGCTCGCCCCTCTGTTTCTGCCCACCCCTGCCTGCAGCCACACAACCAACCTGGGCACAAATCAAACTCTCATCATCCCCTTCCAGGTCCTTCCCGCTGCATTTCGATGAAAACTCCTTCTTTGCAGGGAACAAAAAGGAAGCTGCTAAACTAAAGGTAATTGCTGCCAGAAACCCCACTGCAGGAGGCTTTCCCCTACCTAAACCCCACAAAATTCCAGGATTAATTTGGATTAATACCTGGAAGGAGCCCTAATTAATGCAGAACCATGACCCACATGAACGTTTTTTTTCCCCAGGAGGAATTTAGGCTGCACTTTAAGAATATTTCCAAGATCATGGACTGTGTTGGCTGCTTCAAGTGTCGGCTGTGGGGGAAGCTGCAGGTGAGATTTGTCAGGTGTGGGTTTGGTCCTGGGACAGCAGCTGATTCCAGTTTTTTCAGCCTGTGGGAACTGGGATAAAGTTTCCTTTAACCCAAGAGCCTGGGTGAAATGAAATCCTCTTGCCGTGTTAAACGATGTTGCCCTGGAGAGGAGTTGGAGTTGCTGTTCACTGACCCTGTGTGATCCCTGCACAGACACAGGGCTTGGGCACAGCACTCAAGATCCTCTTCTCAGAAAACCTCATCGAAAGGATTCCCGAGAGTGGCCCTTCCTATGGCTTCCAGCTGACCAGACAAGAAATCGTGGCCTTATTTAATGCCTTTGGAAGGTGAGGTTGAGACTTTTCTCTATTTTCACAAATGCTGCTGTGTTATTACATCCAATTTCAGCTCTCATTTCACTCAGGTCTTCCCAGTTTTGGTGGTAACTCTTGCTTTACTGATATCAGGTGCTATTAATGCGAAGTGAAACACTTGGAATAATTTAAAATATTCTTTATACATTTCTGTACATTTCTGTGAGGAATTCAAGGAAGCATTTATGCTAAGATACAAAGAAATTTATTAATTTTTAAGGGACTGTGTGACTATCCTCAAAGCACATTGTCAGAGGCAAGGATGCTTTTTTAGGCCTCTCCTTCAGGTTGTTCCCTTCCACCAGTTCAGTCCCAGATAATGATTGCATTTAACTGGAAACCATCAGTCCAGCCTCTCTGGATGAGGAGTTTTTGTCAGAAAAGGAGGATAATGAGGCCTTTAGGAGGGGATTTCAGGACACTCTTGTTATCCACGAGCTCTTTGTGATGCTCAGAGACCATGAGTTTCTGGCAAACAGGTTTTTCCAAGGATGAATTCCTTAACATCCTGTTCCACTGTGATTCCCAGTGTTTGCTTTAAAAAGAAGCAGGGGAATTAGTGAAGGGCCTGGCTGTAACCTCAACCTAATTTAACTGGAATTCCAAATCCTCTCTTCTCGAGAGCTGCTTGAATCTTTCCTTGATACAGCCCCTTTCTCCCAGATTTTAAATAATTCACGACCAGGATGTTGCTGTAACATTTCCMTTTTGCTTTTTCCTTGCACCCAGGRTTTCAACCAGCGTGAAAGAACTGGAAAACTTTAGGAATATCTTACAAAACATGCGGTGAATTCAGTGGAGAGAGAGAGACTTGTGGACAAACACCATCATTTTGTCACACTCTGACTTGAACCATGGAAACCACTTGCTGGGACTTCTGTTCCCAGCTGATTGTCTGTAACCTGCTGAGGAGATATTTTCTACAAKGAAAAAAAAAAA